GGCGGCGCTTTGTCCCGAAAGCTTTCTTCTATTTTTTTCCAGGTCAAAACACACCATATAGTCAAAGATGGGCACCGAAGGCCTGCCAGGGGGCCCACAAGGTCGAGGGGCGCGCCCTCCACCCTTGTGGCTGGCTGGTGGCCCCGCTTTGATACTTTCTTCGCCCAATATTTTTTATATATTCCAAAAACATGCTCCGTGAAGTTTCATGACTTTTGGAGTTGTGCAGAATAGGTCTCTAATATTTGCTCCTTTTCCAGTCCAGAATTTCAGCTGCCGACGTTCTCCCTCTTCATGTAAACCTTATAAAATAAGAGAGAATATGCATAAGTATTGTGATATAATGTGTAATAACAGCCCATAATGCAATAAATATCGATATAAAAGCATGATGCAAAATGGACGTATCATTCCTACACATGTTCATGCATGATATTTTGTTGTTGCGTAGCACATTCCCCTTCACATCGGTCAAGGTCATCGGCCACCTCATTTGTCTCCCTCAGCCCAGATCCGACCCTATGATCTCTTGGTCGTCGGTGAGGAATGACCCTCTCACTGGTTTGGCTGTGAGCCATGGGGCTGCGATCGGTGTGAGATGCAATGACCTCCCCTGCATAAACCGGGCCAAGCGAAGTCACCGACGTGGGTCGGTCTTTAGATCTAGTCGTGGTCAGGTGGTTGATCAATGGGGGGTGGGGGAGTCACTTCCCGTCCCCTTTCTGACAACTGATGTCCTATCTTCGATAATCGGTGGCTGGCGGTATCTTGCAATAGTTGTGAACATTGAGGGCTGGGGGTAATGCAGTGGCTCGGGCTCTTGGATACCGGGGAGGTAGACATAGAAGGTGGGTTGCACTATTACCTCTCCGACGAGCTACATGGCAGTGGTGTTGGATGCTCCCCTTGACTAAGTGGATGGTGAGGGAAGCGGTGGTGGTTACTCCTGGTGAGGTTTGCCGTTTGTGGTGATTGTGCCTAGGTCTAGATTAGGTGTCCCGGATCCCGTCATGGCGGGCCTTCCCTTGTGGCGGGGGCTCAGTGACCAAATTTCTCGGCAAGGCAAGTGGGATGTACCGAGCAAAAGCTCAACACTTTGGTGCATGCGTCAGCAACGCCTGCAGGTGCCGCGTCCCTCCTGGGGGCACCGTCGTGGTCCTCCCCTCCCCTTCCTGCCAGTTCACCCCTCGCGAGCGAGATGTGGGAGCACCCAGGTCCTAATAGCGCAGTGATGGTGTTCTTCTGGGAAGGCTTGGATCTTTTTTTTCGAGAGTACGCCTAGACGTATCATAGCTTTATAGAGGCAGAAATGAAATTACAAGAAGCTACCACTCGTTGCGAACAACGAGCGTAGCACACACCACACCACACACGACCAAGATTACAAACGGACAACACCGCAAAGCAAGCTACAACACAGAAGAGCCTATCTTCAGCTGACACACACTGCGTGTCGACCGACGCCGGACACCTCCGAAGACCACCACTTTCCATGGAACATCACTTGTCGACGCACCATCCACTCTGAGCGCCTAAGAGGAAGTGGCAAGTGGAAGGCGGGACTTGCTTCGATCTAAGAGAAGCACCTACTTGAAAACACCAACGATGAGCGTACATAGCGCCGCAAAGAATCAATAGAGGACAGCGGCGAACACCGGAGGAGAGCAATAAGGACCCAACCATATCTCCACACACAAAGCTCCCAACAGAGATACGACATCGAGGATGCTGCCAATGTGCCGATCCAACATCGAATCGAGGCTTTCGCCCGGAGACAGCCACCAACTCCAAGTGAGCGAGGGGCACGGCGCACACACCTCGGCGACGCCTTCAAGAAGGAAATGACACCCACAGGTGCCATCGCCGCCGGCCTGGCATAAGCCGAGCAGGATTTTCATCCGCGCAAACGCACATCACCACGCCTCCTGGAAATGGGCTACACCGTCCAATTTGCCTCGCACCGCCGCCACCGCAACTCTAAGTCGAAGTAGCCACAAAGCTGAGGACTGACGACCGGATGCATGACCAAGAAGAACCCGGCCACCGCACCAACTCCCAGCCTGAACAAGAGACTGCAGCCACCCCCACCTCCTGCAGGGTCCATGACCGTCCGCAACTGCCTACACCCACTCCAAAGGCTGGCCTTGCGACAGACGGACCCGCTCCTCCGCGAAGAACCAAGCCGCGCCACCAAGAGAGCCCCGCCACTCACCACACCGCGCAGAGGAGGCCGGCCACTCGCTGCTCGCCAAGACTCCATCTTGGCCGAGCCATTGCAGCGCCGCCACCACCAGCCTGGCCGTGGGTTTGCTACGCTGCCTCCAGATGACGCCGCCACCGCCCAAGCACACCGCCACACTGCTGCCAGCTCTGTCCAAGCTCGCTGCCCTGCCAGACTCCATGTCGCGCATCCGCCGCCATCCTACTCCACCAGCAGCAGCAGATCTGGCCAAGACGAGTCCCGCCACGAGAGAAACGCCGCGCCGTCACCGGCACGCGCGCTCCGCCACGACGACGCGCCTCCACCGGCCAGCGGCTGCGCTGCCCCACGCCACCACCGCCAGCAGCGCCATCCGACACGCCGGCCTCCGGGATCCGCCGTCTTGAGCGAAGAAGAGGCCCCCCGCGGCCCCCGCTCCAGCCAAGGGCGAAGGAGATCCCGCCGCCACCGGCACCGCGCGGGCTTTGCCCGGCGGCGCCCGCCGGCGGCGGCGGGGGGAGAGGGAGCGGGTGGGGGTAGGTTCTGGCGGCTAGGTTTGGGTCGCCCGCGGGGGAGCGACGCAGGGCAGGGGGTAAGGCTTGGATCTTGACCCGATGCTTCTTTGGCACCATCGCTTGGTGGTTTTGTTTGTCCCCTATCCTCGACACGGGTCCTCGTCGTAAGCTTTCTGGTCAAAACTACACCCACATGGTTCCCACTCCACGGTCCAGAGCAAGAGGGCAGTGGGCTCTCTTCGGCGGTAGTTCGGTGGGGGCCTCTGTCATGAAACCCCATGCTTTTCTGTACGTGACGCAAGTTTGCTTTGGATCAGCTTCTTCGAAGCCTCTGGTTGTGGTTCCGCCACTCCTATGCTTTCGCTTCAGGCTGCAAGTGGGACTGTAGGTGGGAGTCCCACCACAATCCACCTAGTCCCAATACGGTTTGGTGTTAAAAAAGTGGGCACCCCACCAAAACTAACATAAATTATGTGGGACTAAGTGGGATCCCACTTAACAAATGCATTTGCAACTAAAAACATGGACTAAGAAGGAAAGAACCTGCTGTATTATCACAAATTGCCAGTTACAGACTACAAATTTTCTCTTCATGAATCAGTACATCTCTAATAGAAACAGAAGGGGGGAAAGTTAATTTTAGTAAATCTTGACTCTGAACTTGGAAGGAAAACAAACATCTGAATACATGAGCAATCCATCAGCATCTGAGTCTTGACTCTTAACAGAAAGAGAAACATGAATCGAGCCTGAATGAATCTGATGGACTACCTGCAGCCGATGACCTAGGGGTCGCGTCCGACCGGGGTAGAAGATGCGAGGCAGTGGAGACCGAAAGGACCTGAGTGCGAGGCGAAAGAGGATGGGATGTGGCGACGGCGTCCATCAGCAGCGGCGCTCGGAGTACCTCTGCTACGCTGCGGCGCCTCCCGAGTTGGAGAGAAGGGACCGGTGATTCTTGATGGGGACGGCGGAGCAAGGCAAAGAGGGAGAACGTCTGAGTCAGAGGAGGGGCAAGGTGTGAGGTGGTGGTGCGAGGAGTAGCCAAGAAGGTGCGGCGGCGAAGTGGAGCACCGCCGCCGCCTGGAATTTGTGCACTCGTGCGGCTTGCTCTATCCACTCTCGGCTGGGCACTCAAGGCTCAAGATTTTTTTTTTTGAGACAAACTCAAGGCTCAAGTAAATAGTGGGTTATGGTGGGGTCCCAATGGGCTAATAGGGCTAGCCCACTTAATATTTTTCAAATCCAATGAGAGTCCACTAATGCTACTTAAGTGGGATGGGATAATTAGTCCCACTTAGTCCCACCTCCACCTGCAGCTTGAGTTCCGCTCATCGGTCTGTAAACTGGCATGTACGTATGTCTTGTACATTGTTGGTGCTTTAGCTTTGTTCTGTAGTTTTCTTTGATCCGCTTTGCAAGAGGTTTTTTTCTTTTTGAAACAACGCTTTGCAAGATGCTACCAGAGCTTTGCTCGCGGGGCCTGCTGGTCCACAAAACACTGGAAGTGCGCTGCGTCCTCCCCAGGAAACATCAGAATCCGACATGCATTGCCCAACCGCATGCTGATGGAAAATTCACGGGTAAAACAACCAATTGAGATTTCACAGCTTGAGGGGACGCATGCCGGCATGCGTGCTGCCGCTCACTCTTACGTCAGCGGAGTTAGGTCTCGCTGGGTTTGGCCAACGTCGACGAACTGGTCTTGCAAGTTGCCCTCTTCTTTTTGTCTTAAAACTACTGATCTACTGATATACACTTTGTTACTCTCGTTGAATTTACCACAGTAGACTGGTTCATCGCTGTAGGAGCAAGCCGCGTGCATGGTTCGCCAAAAATGAACCAATCTCGTAACCGGCATCTCGCCGTCCTCTTCTTTAAATGGATGATACGCATGCTATGCGTATTCGCCAAGAAAAAATGCATCAATCTTGAGCTGGGACTTCGTTATGACGCTGATGGGCAGTACGTTAGCGCAGATCCAGTCAAACTAAACTCCATGACAACTTGGCCAGTTGCATTTTCAGTTTTTAGGTGAGATGCAAGTTGCATTTCTTACATGATGAAAAGGCTACCTACTGATGAACAGAACGTTTTGTTTCATCCACATTGTTAATCCAGCGCCGAGGCCAAGTCAATCCAAATACTAAGTTGTGTTTCTCTGCTATATAACTACGTACAGAATCATGAACAGAAGTGCGTACACAATACATTTGTAGCAGAGAAACATAAACGCTTACTTTTTGCATGATCGCTTGCAAACATTGCAAGAACCCAAGAGTACCATGGTGATCAGCTTCAGTTGCTCAGCAAGTAGAAAACTGACGGGGATCTTGGCCTTGCTGTTCATGATGACCCGAGTCTATGGCCAGTCTACTTCGGGTGATGTGCCCCACTGCATTCTTTAGTTTACTTTGGAGTGCAATTTAAGAAACACTTCCCACTTTACTGAAGCCTTAGCGATAACATACTAGGAGTATTATCTACTGAATATCTAGTCACACCAGCCATGATCTTGGTGTAGATCTTAAACTTGAAACACATGAAACTGATATAAATTCTCCTTGTGCAGGGTTCATAAGCATCGATTGCGGAAACAGACGCACCTACAACGACAGCACAACAGGAATACAGTACCATTCTGATCATGGATTTGTCGATGGTGGATTGAGCCACAAGATTTCAACGGAGTTCATGGCTGATGCCACGAATGAGCAACAAAAAACCTTGAGAAGCTTCCCTCAGAGCTCAAGGAATTGCTACACGCTGCCATCCGCCACTGGTAAGAAGTTTCTGGTGAGGGCCTTGTTTACTTACGGCGACTATGATGGGTTGAACAGTACTATGAGCGGGTCGCTTTTTCGGTTTGGGCTCCATATCGGTGTCAATTTCTGGGAGGCGGTGAACTTGACAAATTCAGATCCATCAAACACAATATGGAAGGAGGTGCTCACCGTTGCTCCTGGCAACAACCTGTCGGTCTGTCTGATAAACTTCGGTACAGGGACACCGTTCGTGTCTTCGTTGGAGCTGAGGCCACTGCAAGATGTGATGTACCCTTTTGTGAATTCTTCGGTGTCAATCAGCTACTTTAAACGGTTCAGATTTGGTAATGCCACTGAATATATCACAAGGTGAGACAAGACTGAGATCCATAATAATTTGGATTTGATCTTAATTATGCCTGACAATGGTTTATTTATTTATTTATTTGAGTGGTACAACGGTTTAAATTTGGTCTTTGTGTTTCCTGAATCCTTGCAATCACTTCTAATAAAAACTAATGTCTTTGTGTGGGATGCAGATATCCATTGGACCCGTACGACCGGTTCTGGGAGGCTTGGTTTTCCACTTACAAGGCCTACCCCTGGATCACCCTCAACACTAGCAATGAAGTGAAGAGGCTCCCAGGCAATGACACCTTCCAGGTACCGCAAGCCATCCTCCAGAACGCCACGACCGTAGACACGAACAACACCTTTTACAGCGTTCGCGTGGCAGCAGGTCCCAACCTGGACCCAACGAACCTGCAGCTTCTCCCGATCTTCCACTTTGCCGAGGTCGTTGACAACAATCCGAATAGGTCCTTCAACATCTACAGCGGCGACGAATTGTTGTTCCCAGACTTCTCACCTTCGCGATCCCAGGTGGACAGCATGCACCAGAATGGGCGCTTCTTGCATAACCCCGCAGCCTCCTTCCTTCTGAACAAGACCAACAACTCGGTGCTCCCACCGCTCATCAATGCGTTCGAGCTGTACTCTCTAGTTCGGATGGATAACCTCACGACTGACTCCAATGACAGTAAGATATAATGTACTATACTGTGTGTGCATTACACATTTGCCATGCCTGTGGCACATTCCAAATATTATTTTTGGGGGGAAACAACAGGACTCTGTTGTGTATTTTTATTAGTTGTCAAATAAATGGTACAAAGCATAGTTCGGAAAGAAAATAAAAGAGCTATACAGACCTAGTTGAAAACAAACAAACAAGAAACACAAGATACAAAAGATACAACAGGGCAAACTAAGGATCAGATTCCAATTAGCATCATGCAGTTTATTCAGTAGGCTAAACTGCTCAAAGACCTCTGGCTCCCTGCTTTAAAACAAATGTTATTGCCTATCTAGACCTCTGAGATCCCTGACACCACTTGACATTGTCACGCTCTTCACCAAAGTAAGATAGAACAAGTTTAAAAAAAAAAGAGAGAGAACAAGTTTAACCAACTGATTTAGCAATACAGTCGATTCCTGAGTAGGCCACCAAGATTAGAGAAATGAATCAGTGCATATTCAGTTCTACAAAAACATAATGCTTGCATACGGAATATTTTGGTAACCTCTTACGTTACAGTTTAAGCCTCTTTTAAAACATATAAGCCCCCATACCCAACATATACAACTTTTCTATTCCGTTCCAATTTGTTTCCATTGACCTTTTGCTATTGTAGTCAGTTACATCAAAGAAGTGAAGAAGCACTACAATTTGGCACAAATAAACTGGAATGGAGATCCATGCTCCCCAGGAGAGTATTCCTGGGAAGGTTTGATTTGCAGCTACCCTAAGAGCAATCAGAATCCAAGAATAATTGCAGTGTAAGAACTAAGAACTAAGAACAAAACCAGGACTTTACCATATACATTTTGAAATCTAAACATTGCAGTTCAATCTTTTAAACTTTGAAGAGTACCGCGTGTTTTTATAAATAGTAAGAGACTCAGTCACAGTCTAAGTCTCTAAGACCTTGAAAACACAGGTAGCTTGGTGTAAACCTGAGCCACAGAAAGATACTTGAATAGTCTTTAAAATGGAGCTTAAAATGCATGTTAGCTCGATGCTATCATTAAATTCATGGCTTCTATTAAAATGAGTTGTTTCTGCAGAAATCTGTCTACCAGTGGACTGAAAGGTGGATTAGCCATATCATTCATGAACATGTCATCACTGATAAACTTGTAAGTAGTGCCTACCGCATAATATTGATGGGCTAAATGAGACTATGTTTGCCATCTGTGTGACCCTATGCGAAATATATATATAGGGATTTATCACACAACAATTTGACAGGAGCTATTCCAGACTACCTAGGGTCACTCAGAGTCCTGTAAGTTCTGTGATGATTAACTCTTTGGTTGATGATATTAATTTTGAATAATGATTTTAACAATTATTTTACAGCAACTTGTCAAATAACCAGCTTAATGGGCCGATCCCTGATTCTGTTCTTCAAGGTTTTCAGGCCGGCCTGCTTGACTTAAGGTTTGTCATTCTCTGCCACACAATTCTTTAAAAAAAAGAATGTTACAAATTCCATACTAAATATAAGAAGAAAAAATAGACCAAACAAACATAGTCGGTCCCAAGCCCAGGTAAAGAAGGAGGGTTGTGATAAGCTTGGCAAGCCAACTTCAAAACGCAGCCACTCTTGTGGAGATGAAACTCAAAAGGCTGGCCAACTAAAAGGCGTCCTGATTCGGATCTGGGGATCTGACATCGTCGCGCTCCTCCTGGCGGCCTTGTGGTGGCATGGGTAGGTTGCTGAGCGAAAGCTCCGTGCCTTGGCGCCGACGGCGGCGACACCCGAGGGTGTTGCACTCCTCTTAAAGGCGTCGTTGTGGTTCTTCTCCCTGTGTCAGGGCTCCGGGTGAAGACCTTTGTCCAGTGTGTACTCGGCAACGGCGACGGTTTGCGCCGTTCTCCCTCTTGAGGGCGTTGTCGTGGAGCTTAGGTGTGCTAGGTCATAGCATGGGGGTGTTTAGTTCTTTCGGTGCTCGTTTAGGGTAGCATAGTCGCGTGCGTTCTACGTGTGCCGGTTATCTCAGGATCAGCTTTGTAAGAGGGCTACCTCACCATCTTGTATCGTTCGGCCATGTACTTTTTCAGTTGTTGCTTTATTTATAAAGCGGGGCAAAAGCCTGTTCCGAGACCAAAAGGCGACGTGTCCAACAGTTAGGTGTAGCAGAGATGCGCATGCTAAGATGGATATGTGGCCACACAAGAAAGGATCGGGTCCGGAATGATGATATGCGTGATAGAGTTGGGGTAGCACCAGTTGAAGAGACATGTCCAACATCATATGAGATGGTTGGGCATATACAACATAGGACTCCATAAGCCCCAATGCGGTGCATAGCGGAAGGATAAAACATGCTGATAATGTTAAGAGAGGTCGGGGGTAGACCAAATTTAATATGGGAGGAGTCGGTAAAGAGAGACCTGAAGGACTAGAGTATCACCAAAGAACTAGCCATCGAAATGGGTGCATTTAAGTTATCTATCCACGTGCCAAAACCATGACGGTTTTGAGATCTTAGAGCATCTCCAGCAGATGCCCTAAACTTAATCCCTCAAACCCTCTCCCTATCCCAAGAAGTCAAAAAAATTAAGGGATTAAACATTTCCTCAGCTAGCAGGTCCCCTAAAACTTAATCCCTTAAAAATATTGTTTTGCTAATTCATCCAACCATTTCCAAACTTTATCACAACATATTAGTTCAATACTTAAGAATTCAAGTACATACAATTCAAATACATAGCAAATTTGATGTTCTCAAACATAACCGTGCAAATTCAAAACACAACAGACGGTCCAAATGAATTAAGAATCCAAATAAACATTGTAAAAGCACAAGAATCGGTGCTATGAAGGCGCCAATCATGCTCAATAAGATCTTCTTGAAGTCAGTTCTGAGCTTGACGGTTATCGTATTTCGGTGTGCTTGGAGGAAGGCTTCAATCTTGTTTGGGTTACATTCTGGCTCCACCAGGTGTCCATTGAAGAGATACCGAAAGTCCTACGGGTCATCTCATACTCAATGATCATGTTGTCATGATCTTCCATAAGATCTCCGGGTTCGGATATACTCAGCAGGGGCACAGACAATCACAAAGAGTCGTTGAAGCACACCAAAAGCTCTCTCAACATCCTTTCTAGGAGATTCTTGCATAGTTGCAAAGTGAGATTTCTTATTGCCTTTAGGACGGTGGATTGTCTTCACAAATGTGGCTTGTAGAGGATAGATCTCGTCGGCTAGGTAGTATCCCATGTTGTACTCATTGCCATTGACAACATAGTTGCAAGGTGGATTGTCACCGGCAACAAGCCTTGTAAAAAGAGGATATCAAGAGAGGACACTGAGATCATTATGAGAGCCAGGCATCCTGGAGTATGCATGTCAAATCCAAAGATCATGTGATGCAAATGCCTCAAGAATGATGGTTGGATCATGGCAATGCCCTCTCTACTGACCTTGCCATGCCACAAGGCAATTCTTCCATGTCCTACAGATCCAAGAACATCGGGCCGACCTCTCTCTTCACTTTCCGCCATGAGCCTCTCGGTATCTTCATCATTGGGAACCCTGAAAGGATCGATATAGTTGACTAGAGGGGGGGTGAATAGGCAACTAACAGTTTTTAGCTATTCTTTACCAATTTAAACTTTGCATCAAAGTAGGCTGTCTAGATATGCAACTAGGTGAGCAACCTATATGATGCAACAACGCTAAGTAAACAAGCAAGCAAGGAATGTAACCCAAGATAAGCTTGCACGAGTAAAGGGATGAGATAACCAAGAGTGGAGTCGGTGAAGACGAGGATGTGTTACCGAAGTTCCTTCCGTTGAGAGGAAGTACGTCTTCGTTAGAGCGGTGTGGAGGCACAATGCTCCCCAAGAAGCCACTAGGGCCACCGTATTCTCCTCACGCCCTCACACAATGCGAGATGTCGTGATTCCACTATTGGTGCCCTTGAAGGCGGCGACCGAACCTTTACAAACAAGGTTGGGGCAATCTCCACAACTTAATTGGAGGCTCCCAACAACACCATGAAGCTTCACCACAATGGAGTATAGCTCCACGATGACCTCAACCGTCTAGGGTGCTCAAACACCCAAGAGTAACAAGATCCGCGAGGGATTAGTGGGGGGAATCAAATATCTCTTGGTAGATGTGTAGATCTAGGCCTTCTCAACCAATCCCTAGGAGATCAACAAGTTTGATTGGTTAGGGAGAGAGATCGGGCGAAAATGGAGCTTAGAGCAACAATGGAGCTTGGGGGTGGAAGAGGTAGTCAACTCGGAGAAGAAGACTCCCCTTTTATAGTGAAAGAGCAAATCCAACCGTTATCCACTTACTCAGCCCGCGACGAGCGGCACTACCGCACGAGCCCACGGTACTACCGCAAGGCCCTGCGGTACTACTACTGCCACGGCACAAGCTAGGCCAGACCTGAGGCAAGGAAGCCAAGGGCGGTAGAACTGCTGGCGCGGTACTACCGCTCCCCCTTGCGATACTACCGCAAGGCAGGATTGGTCTAGACTGGGAAGGCACGGACATATAAAAATACATCTGTGACTACTTCTGCTGAGTTCCGATCCATGAAAAAATCCAACACGGTACTACCGCAAGCCCGGAGCGGTACTACCGCGTACGGCGCGGATGTAAAAAATTACATCCGCCCCTACTTCCGCTCATGTTGTTGTGCTTGCCCAGAGCTCGCGGTACTACCGCGCCCATGGCACAGTACTACCGTGTAGGGCGCGGATGTAAAAAATTACATCCGCCCCTACAGCCACTCGAGCCGTTGAGCCTGGCCTGAGGCTATGGTACTGCCGCTCCTAAGAAGCGGTACTACCGTGAGCACCTGCGGTACTACCGCGCCAGAGGCCCGTACTACCGCAAGGGCCTGCGGTACTACCGCTCCAGAGAGGAGTACTACCGCATGCCCCAGTTCAGCAACACTAGGAGTCCTTCATTTTGCAGAGCCACGGAGAAACGGAGGATGCTTCAAAGGGCCAACGGAAAAGTGGTGCAACAAGGAACAGACGTGTACGTGTTGATTCCACCCAAACCTTTCCAACGCAGACCCCCTCTTAATAGTACGGCTTTCCTACGACTCAAACCACCAAAAAGAAACGTAGAGAAACGCCGTCTTCAATAGTCTTCGAGGGGCACCAAATCGTCTTGTGCCTAGACATGATATATCTGAAATGCTCAATGCACACGATTAGTTCGCAAAAGCATTGTCATCAATCACCAAAACTACTAAGGGATAAATATGCCCTTACAAACCCTCAAGTACTCTGGTCCATAGATTTCGATCACAACATCACAAAATCGTCTCACACAATCTAGGATGAGATCTTCCCCAATGCGAACATAGTAATCAATGGCATCGGTCGGGCATCCATAAGCAAGGACTCACATGGTTGCGGTAATCTTCAACAATCGAATTGCACTTGCAGCAAGTTGCATTCCTTCTTGGCTTAAACGAAGGATCATGTTTCTCCCTTTTGCAATGGTGTTGAAAAGATCTCGGTGCATTCGGAATCTATGCAGAAAATAGGAAGCATATACTGCATTCGGCACAAATTAATCCCTCACTAAACCATCATGACCAATGATTCTATCTCAAAGAAACATCCTCCGATCAAACCGAGAACTGAGCCTCAGCCGCGGGAAATCCTCCTCCATAGACACCACGGCGGCCACCGCCAAATCAAAGTCACCATCTTCTTCTTTCTACACAATTCGAGACCTTTCTTTGATGAAAACAAGAAAAAAAAACATAGAGGCATTTTGACAAATACCTTGTTGGTGGACGGGAGCAGAGACACGATGTCCGATGATGGAGCTCGGGCTAAGGCCAAACGATGGTGGAGGACACTAGCGACGCTGCCTAGCAGTCTGCAGAGGCGATCCTCGGGCGTTGAGGCGACGAACCTCCACCCCAGGGATGCGGGGTGGTGGGGCGGTCTTCTTCGCTAGTTCTAGCGCCGCTGGTCGTCTAGGAGCTGCATTGGACCTTCCTACGTCGTCTCCAAGGTCGGCCGGTTCGATTCCCGATGAAATAGACCTCAGTGACCACCGGGCGAAGCGATAGGAAGGCAGGTTCTTCGGCAGTGAAAAGGCTGATTCTGGCACCGGCGAACAAGGAGAAAGTGTAGGAGAGGGCGGCAGGATGGTCGCGCGCAACGGTTCCTGCAAAAGGGGTTGAACAACGGCAACGGGGGCAGCGGGTCGGAGCTGAGAGAAAGGTATGGCAGCCGACTGTTTTTACTGAGAAGTTGCGGCATTGGACTAAGGGCATGTACAATGATTGATAAGATAGTCTTATCTTAAGTCTTGCATGTAATTTAGAGATGACAAAAAAAGACGTCTACAATGGGTCATGTCTTAGCCTTATCTTCAATAAGTAGTTATTCCTAAAAATGAGGCGAGACATATTGTGCTAAGAGATCATCTCTTGTCTTCTCTTAAATAAGAGAAGACAAGCCTTTTCTTACGAGTTATCTCTCCTCCACCTCATCATTTATCCTACATGGCACTCCTAAGATAGCATCGTTGTACATGCCCTAAATTAAGTCGGGGTGGCTGCGTTTTGGGGGATGAAAAGCTTTTTTTAGGGATTTTGGTTTGAGGGATCTGCTAGCTGGTCCTTAATCCCACAAAACAAAACAAAAAATTGGCCCAAATGTAAATTTTTGGGCATCTATTAGAGATGTTGTTAGGGGTTTCAACTCTAGCCTACGCCAACTTGTTTGGGACTGAAAGGCTTTGGTAGCTATGCCAAAAAGAAATAGGCTCAACAATTGGTTATCATTGGAGAAAATTAAGGTTTGGCAATAGTCTTTGAACATACAATATAATACATTGGCTAAACATTTGGTTCATACCCACACTTAGCCAAACTAGAGTTACAAAGGTTTGGCTTTCTCTTGGCACTGTTTGGTTAATGATATATTTGTGGCACGCCACACTTTCCAAGCGCCTAGCCCCACTTGCCATACACATGAACTCTTAGAGAAATTGACTTAGCCACACTTCTGTAGGGAATTGCATTGATGCAAACACGCGCTCAATTACACAACTTACATCTATCAAATATAAATGTTTTGTTATCTATCGGCTTTCAACAAGAGAGGTAGATAAGGACGTTAGTAATTGCACATGATATACAAACCATGAAGTTTGTTCCTTTAGAGTGTCTAGATGAGAAACCGTAAAGTTGTTCTTTTTAGAGTGCACAGATGTTTAGCTGGCTAGTTGTGTTAGAAACAGACTCATCCTCTAATCATAATATTTATATAACTGTTGCAGCTAAGGTCTTATGAACTGCTCTTTTCTATATGTTGTGTAACTGTGCCACTAGATTAGAAGGCAATCCCCTATGCTCAAAAGTCAAAGATACATACTGCTCAAATAAGAAGAACACCATACATATCATACTCATCGCAGTGATAGTTCCTGTGGTACTGGTATCCCTCCTAGTAGTGATGTGCATACTCTGGAAGTTATGCTGGAAAGGTAAACAAAAATCTATGCTCTAAAATTCCCTTAATCGATGCAATGGGTGGTACATATTAGAGAGCAGCTTCGTATCTAAACTTTCATGTAAAGCAAAACTTCTTGACTCGGCAGGGAAGTCAGAAGACCATGAGGATTATGCCATGTATGAAGAGGAAACTCCACTACATATTGATATCAGACGGTTCACGTACACAGAGCTGAAGCTCATAACAAACGACTTCCAATCAATCATTGGAAAGGGAGGTTTCGGTATTGTTTATCATGGCACGCTGGAAAATGGTGATGAGGTAGCTGTGAAGGTGCTCATGGAGACATCAATAGCAGAGTCAAAAGACTTCCTCCCAGAGGTATATCACAAAACAAACTAGGTCGAACCAATGCTTTCTTCAATAGAAAGTAATAATAAGTCCGCAAGACGTCCAAAACCCTTTACAGAGTCCATATCACATAATGATGCAATTGGCTTTAGTTCTAGGATATCTGATACTTATATCCGTTGCTGCAGGTGCAAACCTTGTCCAAAGTTCATCACAAGAACCTTGTGACTTTGCAAGGATATTGCCAGAACAAGAAGTGCCTAGCACTCGTTTATGATTTTATGCCCAGAGGAAATCTTCAACAGCTTTTAAGAGGAGGTTTCTCTCTTAACTTCTCCTAATGTATATGTCAAGCATAGTTGACTTAGGTACAACCAATCCAACTTTCAGTTTGTTATTATCACTAGTTGTATTTGTACTTTAATTCAATAAAATAAAATCATTCGATCAAAACTAAAAACTGCTCAATCTGAAAAGCAAGTTCAGAGTTTTACTTCGTGAGAAACCAACAGTTACACAGGGACCCGGATGACTAACTTGGGAATCACCTATTTGTCAAATTTTATCAATATATTGTGCATCCATAAAAATAAAATCCGGCAGGACCTAGTTGTATGTACAAAAAGGAAAGTCTAAGATCAAACTATTCTGGCTTTGACATGGTACTGCAATCAGGATTTTCAAAACTGGCTCTCCTTGTTAAAGGTATAGTTGATTGCCTAAACTGTTATTGTGCTGCTAGTCGATACAGTTGAGTTTGTAGACATAATTTACTCTGTAAAGATATTCAACTAACAAGTGAGACAACCATAGCTGCATCCTAGAACTGCATAAAGTCCTAACCATGGCATGGTCATAGATATTCCGTAACAAATTTGGGCTACCACAGTAAAATTCTTTTTCAAAAGCATGGCATGATAGTCACAAAATATAAACATGCACATCTTTGAAAAGCCAGTAAGAAACAAAGCAACTAGAGAGATATGTATTCAAAGAATGCTTCAATAGCTTTGTTCTATTGTTAACTGGATTTCAGGATTTGTATATAAAAAAATGCTCTGGTAAAGCAAATGAAAATGTTATGGACATTAGTGCATGCCCCAAAGCAGAATCAGATGTGTTGCAACTGGCCAGCCGGCCAGCAAGGGTCGGTGAGTTCTTTACAGGAAAGAGACCCCAATAAGATTCAAGGAAGGAGTTGGCTAGGGAAGAGTTCAGGAAGGAGACAACTTAAACTGGGGAAGATGAGTTACAGGTAGAATTAGGAAGCCTAATTCGGAACAGTAAGGATTAGGAAAGCACGAAATGAGATTCTCGTATGAGAGGGTTTCCTAGTTAGAGTGCAACACCATGGGTGTCAACTGTCAAGTTAGGAGGTATTATATATGTGCATGTCATGAAAGGTTTGGGAAGGAAGCAAGAATTATTCTCTCATCTAAACCTATGCCTACCCAATCCCTTGCAGCAATGCTGTCTGGCTATCTTCAACACGATAGTTATTTATCACGTTGTGGATCAAGGTTCACAACAGAAAAGCAGTGACCTCTGGAAGATCAAAGTGCCTGTTTATGCAGGACTTAGATCTTAATACGCCAATGATGATATGGTTAATCATTGTGTGTTTATCCATCATTTGTCAGCTTAAATATGTGCATAGAGTCGATCTAAAATAATATGTGCAAGTATTAGGAAAACTGGTATTTATGCTATTATGCACATACCAAATGGCACTTGCATTAATTTCGTATGTATTGATGCAGGAGATGAGTATAGTTTGAATTGGGAACAACGACTTCATATTGCACTTGATGCTGCACAAGGTCCGTACTTCAGTTGCATGTTTGCCTTTAGGCCATGTATGTACGTATGTGTGAGTTTTCTTTCTTTTGAGGTGACGTATGTGTGTGTTGACAAAGTACGAGTTTTGATAAACAACAGGCCTCGAGTATTTACATGAGTTATGCACCCCATCAATAGTGCACAGAGATGTGAAGACCCCAAACATCCTTCTGGACAATAATCTGGTGGGGGTGATATCTGATTTTGGGCTTTCACGGGCTTTTAATGATGCTCACACACACATATCTACTGCTGCTGCTGGCACTCTTGGTTACCTCGATCCTGAATACCATGCAAGTTTCCAAGTCACCGTCAAAACAGATGTTTACAGCTTTGGTATCGTGCTCTTGGAGATCATCACCGGCCAATCCCCAGTAGTTATGGACCCTCAAACTGTCCACCTACCAAATTGGGTGCGGCAAAAGATAGCTAACGGCAGCATTCACGATGTTGTAGACAAGAAACTGCTGGATCTGTACGATGCCAGTTCCCTGCAGAGTGTAGTGGACCTGGCCATGAACTGCCTCGAAAACGCAGCCATCAACAGGCCGACCATGACCGAGGTTGCTTCAAGGCTCAAAGTGTGGTTGCCAGCTGTTTCTGGGGCCCCTCGACATACAGACTCCATGGATACTGAAATTCCAAGGCAGTTCCGGCTGATGATTTCAAGAGCAAGAAACGAGGGGATATCCTTCCAGTCTGGCTATACCAATGGGATTTCACAAACGAGCCTCTTTTCTGGACGGTGAAAGCGAGATGCCGGGTCCTCTTAGATAATGTTTGGTAATTTGCTTAACTGCGCTGCCATTGATCGTCCGTAAACTGAAATTTAGTAATTGTGTCATTTTCAGATTCTAATATTGCTCGTTTGTACGGGTAATAGTGTTAATATTGCTAGTTTCTACCGGTAATAGTGTTCAAGCATGAAGCGTCCCCTTCCATTTGAGAACTTGGTGGCCCATTAATTAGTGCCCGTACATCAAAACCACAGCAATCCTAAGACAAGTAGTCTGCCGCCTAAGGATTCCGCCTTTTATTCCCCATTCTCTCTTGCAAGCATGTGGATTCAAATCTAAAGTACTTGTTTGTTCTACCAAATCATCCGAGCATCCACGGAGTTTGTCGACTAACACAGCACTACATGCGATGGCACACAAGTTGGAGCCTGAGGACCTGAGCAGAAATGGCACATGACATACCTTAGTCTCGCCGCTCGCGCCGTGGGGCAGTTCCTCGACTTGTCCGCGAGCTACAGCGCCTGCGCCTCCTCCCCCTTGGCCTCCGCCTCCAAACCCGAGCTGTACGAGAGATTGGGGGCAGCACATCACTGCGGTAGAGCAGCTCCGGTGCTGCCCGATGGATGGGCGTGCGGCGGCGCCCTGGCGTGGAGTCGAAGTGGGCGGCGACCCCCGCCGTGCCTGAGGGCGAAGGGGTGGGCCTTTTTTTTTGAGAAAACCTTACCGGCCTGTCAAGTTACAGCGTGGGCGCAGCCGCAAGAAGCCCGGCGACGCCCCACGCGGCCACACGGGCCACGGGCACCCGTGAGGCGGAACCCCCTCCTATTTTATTTTTGCTCGCCCCAGTCGGCCGAGATCCGAGTATCGAGCGGCCGAGATCCGACAAGAGCGGACGGTCGTGCGCTACGCCATATCTGACGGTGGATCTGTTGACCTGTCGGTGATCGTTATTAAAGTCACGCTGATCTTACCACTTCCTTTCGTGTGCAAGCACTTTGTCCATCTTTTAAATAAAAAATGGGCAATCAAAGTCCCATGATTAGTCCGCCAAGTTTTTTTTTTTTGAAACAGCAAGCCTCCTCATTGATTTTTATTAAAGAAACCGCCAACAAACGTATCACCCTAGTTGAGTTGGTTATCACGAGCGTATCATCGTCAAACTGGTCTGGCAAGTGGCATGTATGTCAGTACATTGCTGGCGCTTTAGCTTTGTTGCGTAGTTTCCTTTGATCCGCTTTGTAAAAGGGCACATACAAAGGACAAACAATAAGGTTCCTAGCTCTGAGTGTATTAGTATTTTATTTTCTTTGAGAGGTTCGTGCGCATTAGTTTTTTTAGGGAAGATCGTGTGTATTAGTAGAGCGAGGCTACCAGAGCTTTGCTCGCCGGCTGCTGGTCTCACATTTACGTGATGCGCCATGTAAACAGGGTTTCTCCTACTTGAGCATCCACGGGACACATCGGCGATCTATCGCCCCAGGAAACATTGGAAGTGCACTGCATCCTCGGGCTCGCGCATGCGATTGCATGGGCCAATCGCCAGTGCGAAGACGCGCTCACGAGCAATCTCTAAATGTGTAAAGGTTACCGACAAACGACAAAAGTCTATTCTATCACCAAAAATGCTAGACGTACGGGAAATTTTTACAAGAATTAACGGACTAACCTTATCCCTCTCACTAATATCTCCCCCATTTTCAGTGTGGGGCCCGCTTCATCTTAACAACCAATCAACACACCCCACCTCAGCCTAGCCTGTAAAACTCATGTAAAACCCCTATAGATGTAGCATTGCTGATTCCACCACAATCTCTAAATTAAAACTGCGTAAAACCTAGTAACTTTTAGGAGTAGTGCTCTAGTAGATGCTTGCAGAAGCAGGGGAAAGCACCCAAAACAAATATTGAAACCAAGCTGAAACCAAGCTGAAGATGAATTCTACTTCGTTTTCCAGAATTTGACATGCATTGCCCAACCGCATGCTCATGGAAATTCATGGGTAAAACATTCCAGATGATATTTCAGAACCGGAGGGGAGACATACGTGATCTTGCTCATTTTATGTCAGCCTAGTTAGGTCACGCTGGGTTTGGCGCAACATCGTCGAACTGGTCTTGCAACTTGTCCTCTTACTTTTGTCTTGTAACCATAGATATACACTTTGTTACCCTCGCTGAATTTACCACAGAAGACCGGTTCAGACTTCAGAGAAATGTCAGCGGGCGTCGCTGTAAGGGCGAGCTACCTGCATGGTTCCTCGCCAAAATGCACCAATCCTGGGCTGGGACCTCGTTATCACGCTGACGGGCAGTAGTAGGTTAGAACCGAGCTAGTCAAACTAAACTCCATGGCAAGTTGGCAAGTTGCATTTTCCGATTTTAGGTGAAATGCAAGTTACATTTGCTACATGAAAAGGCCATCTACTGATGATTAGAACGTTTTGTTTCATCCACATTGTTAATTGAGCGCCGAGGCCAAGTCAAGTCAAGTCAATCCGCATACTACTAAATTGTGTTACTGTACTTGGTTTTCTCGGCCATATAACTGCGTACACAAGTCATTTGTTGCAGATACCAAGCTTCTTAATTTGCATGATTGCTTACCAACATTGCAAGAACCGAAGACAGAGTACCATGGTGATCAACTTCAGTTGCTCAGCAAGTACAAAGCTGACATGGATCCTTGCGCTGCTTCTCATCCTGGTCACGACGATTCAAGTACATGGCCAGTCTACTACCGATGGTAATTCATGTCATATCCTCTGAGCTTTTCCCCTTCCAGATCCAGCACCTTTCTAAGCTCTGCTCCATCTGCACCCACAGTTCAGTTTACTTCAGCGTGCAACTTAAGAAATCTCACTTTACTGAAAACCTCAGAAATCAACAAATTAGTAGCTACCGCATGCCTAGTCAAACATGTCATGATCATTGCTTAGAGCATTTCTGAAAGTTATATATGGACAGAACATTTTGGTTTAGGGAATTAACACCCATCTAGCCCATCCCTCATTTCCTTTAGTTAAAAGAAAAAGAAAACAGCTCTCAAAAACTTTTGCCTCTAGCCCATTTTTCTCGATACTAGTAAGCTGTACGTGCAAAAGCACATGACATATCAGGTACTTCTACATTCAAATTAACGGCACAAAACTATAGGTACTCAAATAGGTAATGCTCTTATGATGTCCCCAAGGGCGGCCCCTCCGACGGGGCAGGGAGGGGGTGATCCCCATCTCCCCTGAGAAGGAGTTCTCCGAGGACAACGAGGAATGGAGCTTGTCTTTATCTGTGTAGTATCTAGTTCTATCCGGTTTATGTCGATGTTTTACCTAGTTCAATGTCGATGTAATGGTATGGTAGTCGGTATTGGTATGTTTAAATATGCTAGGTTTGATCTTAATGTGGTGGCGTTGATTAATATGCAATGAACTAGTTTAAATTTATGTTTCAAATGAATTTGTGTGCAAAAATTATATTGAAAAATAAGTTTTGGGAGATGGATTTGATGGACAAAAGTTTAATTCCTAATAAATAGGGAATTAAAGGATGGGAATAGGACGGAGAATTAAATTACTAGGGATGTGCTAGAGATGCTGTCAGAGTCTCAGTAGATCTTAAACTCGAAGCACGTAAAACTGATACATACTCTCCATTATGCAGGGTTCGTAAACATCGATTGTGGATTCACAAACAGTAGCGCCTACATCGACAGCACTCTAAAAATACCGTACCGTTTTGATGGTGAATTGGTCGACGGCGGATTGAGCAACGAAATTTTGAAAGAGTTCATGGCTGGTGCGGGGAATGAGCAACAAAAGACCCTGAGAAGCTTCCCTGACGGCTCAAGGAATTGCTATACACTGCCATCCACCATAGGTCAGAAGTATCTATTGAGGGCCATGTTTACTTACGGCAACTACGATAGGTTGAACAGGACTATGGGCGGGTCTTTGTTTCGGTTTGGGCTCCATATCGGTGTCAATTTCTGGGAGGCAGTAAACTTGACAAATACGGATCCATCAAGCACAATATGGAAGGAAGTGCTCACCGTTGCTCCGGGCAACAACCTTTCAGTCTGTCTGATAAACTTTGGTACAGGGACTCCCTTTGTGTCTTCGTTGGAGCTGAGGCCACTGCAAGATACGATGTACCCTTTTGTGAATACTTCAGTGTCAATCAGCTACTTTAACCGGATCAGATTTGGCAACGTCACCGACCCTATCACAAGGTGAGAGGAGGCTGCCATCCATTATAGTTTAAGATTAGATCTGACTTATGCCTGACAATGGTCTTAAATTTAATTTGCTAGATTAAACGCATTTAAAGTGTTTGGTCCTTTGTTTTCTAGATGCTGCAGTTACATGTAAGTTGCACGTAACAAAATTTAAATCTCAAGGTGATATGAAGCTGGGATTATTTTGCCAAAAGAAAAACTAAATCGGCGACAATTAATATGGATCGGATGGAGTATGAAGTTGGGATTGCTAAATCCCATAGCAAGTGCCTTTTTTAAGTAAAATACCAAAAGATTAGTGTGCTCTGCTGGCTATTTATCTAATTCTCCTAGTCTCTGTGCCATAAAGATATCCAACAGACGATTATGACCGGTTCTGGGAGAGCTGGCCCCGCACATCCTATGCCTGGATCAACCTTGACACTGACAAAAAAGTGGAGAGACTCCCCGGCGACAGTGCCTTCAATGTGCCGTCGACCATCTTCCAGAAGGCTTCAACCATAGACATGAACATCTCCAGCACGAGCATCATCGTGGCAGCGGGTCCCAATCTAGACACCAAGAGCCTACAGCTTCTCCCGATCTTTCACTTTGCTGATATCAGCAACAGCAGCCTGAGCAGGAGGTTTGACATCTACAGCGCCGAAGGTTTGCTGTTTCCAGACTTTTCCCCATTGCGATTCCAGATGGACAGCAAGTACAAGATCGGGCACTTCCTGCAAAACGCCGATGTATTCTTCACCTTGAACAAGACGAGCAGCTCGAGACTTCCGCCGCTCATC